GACATGCTTTTCCAGATGTTGTAATCTCCATATTTATTGGTGGACATTATTTATTATGTCTTGTCTTAGAAATTCTGAATGGGAGTGCTGTACTTAACTAACATTCTTACCTCTGTATTCAAAAATAACCTAACCTTTTAGATACAGTTTTGCAAGTAAATGAGATGGCATCACATTTGTGTGTTGTCTCTAAGAAGGATGTTTATTTATCATCCCTTTGCATTTGCAAATTCTTTCAGACTGATAATTTAATGAAGCATTTGAAGATTAAAACTGTATCCTGTATTGACGGTAGTCTAAATATTCAGCCGTTTAAATGGTATGAGCAAGTTATAAACTTCCGAGTTATCACTGTGTAACTGTGCTGTTCAGTATCAATGTATTAAAAAAGGTTGGAAACATTCATTTTTCACTGACATCCAACATCTGCTAGGCTTTCAAAATGACAAGGCTGAGGTAAGGAAAGGCTATGAGGCACGGCATAATTTTCTGCTGCATTGTATTTCCAGAGCGTACTCCCAGCTGAACTGAAGGCAGTGGTGGGGCTGTGCTCTACAGTGGTTCATATGCTGATGCATATAAATGAACTAAAGCCTGTATTGTGAAATCAATGCTTATAGACTTTGTTCTGTAAGAGTTAGGCATCTACAGCGCCACATCAAAATGTTTTATTAATTTTAAAGTGAGTGGACACTTTGTGTCCTCTTCTTGTGTTTTTTCTTGAGTAACAAAACACTAAGGAAACTAGTTTTCCCCCTTTGCCCCCCCCCAAGTCATTCCTGATCTGTTATATCTTAATCTCAACAAGTATTTCATGAATAGTCCAGGAGTTGCTTACCTTTTTAAAGAAAGGTACATTTGATAAGTTGTATGACACATTTTAGCTCTAACTCTTTCAATATAATTTACTCTGAATGTACGCCTTTCACTGTCAGGCACGTAGTATTGTCTGCTTTGCCTTGCTCTTTGTTTAAGTAACTACTAAGGTTTGCAAGAACTAGTAAAACAAAAGTGTTAATTAAATCAGATTAAAATAAACTTGCTTTAAGATGGTATAGGTAGTTGGTTAAAATTTCTCTTTGTCCTAGGCACAGCTGTTAATTTTTCTCCCTTGCAGCAATAAATGTCCTTTCATTATCAGCAATCTTCTAAGCTCTGTGTCATTAAGCTGATTTTTGTCCTTCTGATGTTTCTTATTGCAGTAGATCTTTGACTCTTGGTGTTTATTATGAAGTTTTAATTTAAGGGAGAGGCAGAAAAGCATAAAGTAGCTGTGCTGAGTGTACAAAGGTGCTGATTTTGTGAGTGTACTTGGAGGGGTGGGGGGTTGTTTGAGAGCTTGAAACAGCATTGACCTGCACTGCTGCTAGCCTGAGATACTGTGGTGTTACTTGGTTGAAACTCAGAGTTGCCAGAAAGAAAAATCAAGGAAACTATTCATCTGGTTTGGGTTGATAAATAAAACCAGTTTACTTCATGAGAAAGCTCGCGACTGTGCCAAAGTTAATAAAAAGTTGAGATGAACTTTATGTTCAAAGACTCTCTCCTTCCAAAAAACAGCTTTCCATCAGATACTGCTGGAATATTGGAAGTCTCTTCACCATCAGTGAGTCATACATGCTGTAATCCACAGTCGGTATCCCTGCATGGGAGCCAAATGTTCAGAGGTACCTACGTGTCTTTGGTCCCAGCTGTCCCTTCTTCTTTTTGTGTGGTCTCGCCCTGGGGGGGAGGGAAGGGTGGAAAGTTGGGAATCACCTCAGAAGTTTCTGGTCTTTTACAGTAGAGAATGTTTTCACTGTTAAGTCATCCGCTATTGAGATCTGCTCAAAGTAGTCCTTGGATTCAAAGGAAGCTCAAGAGGATGAGGGTCTGTACTGACAAACTCTGAGAAAGCTTTCGGTAGCGTTTTTTTTTCCTTTTTGGTATCTAATTATGTCCCTTTCCTATATCTTGCTCGTCACATGATTGCAAGTACTAACAGTGGTTAGAAGTCATTGCTGCCTTCCTTCAAAATGCTAGATGTTGCAATACCAGCTCCTGTTTTCCTTTGGACATTTTCTTTTTTCATTTGAAAAAGGCTTGTTGCTTTCTGAAGAATGGGTCTTTAGAGAGGTTATTGCTTCTGTGTGTCACTCTGAAGGGATGAGAAAACATCTGACCATAAAGGAACGTAGACTTGCATGAGGTATCTCCTGTAAACATGTTACGATGGCCACCTTCCTTCAGCACTGGGATGGTTTTTTGATCTACTTAAAGACTGATTGCACAAGAGTTATCTCATGTTGCAAACAAACATACAGCAATGTTTCTTCCGCAGCGATGCAAAACTAAGACTGAGTGTCTTACGTGAGCTGTGACTTTAAAATGTCTCAGTTGACTTAACTCCAGTTCTGGGTGTTAAGATCCAGAACTTGTATAAGATTTCAGAAGAAACTATGTATCATCAAAATAGACGTATCCCTAAAGGAATGTAATTAAATGACCAGAATAACTTAGTGTTAAGAGGAAAATCATTGTTTTGTCTTGTCATTTGTGTTTTTTCCTCTCCACCACTCTAAGGATCCATTTATTTCCTGAAACTCTCTCACTAAAGGGCTTTATACTTTAGTGGACTAAAAAAAATTAGGGGAAAAAAATGGTTATAGTTTGCTTTTCAGTCCTTTGTAATATTCCTTAATTGTGAGGTTACTTTCTCATGTTCGTTATGATAGTTTCATTATCTATGCAAACACAAGGATTTGGAAATCTCTTTCCGAACATAATCATTTAGAGCAAGACTTTGAAAGGAACCATCATAGGAAAATTGAGATTTGAGTATTTGGACTCTGTGGCAAATCCCAGAAATAACGATCTCCTTGTTGCCTGATAATAACATGCACAGCTACATAGCATAGGGGAGTGATGTTTGGAAGGAGTTTTTGTTGCAGATTTGTATGCTGCTACAGCAAATTCATGTTATTTGTGGTTTTGACAGTTAAAATATACAAGTGTTGTTTGAAATTGTAGTAATTGTTTATGTTGTTTCCTTACAGCACATGCAGTGTTTGTGAATTGCTGCCTTAATGCCATATTGTATATAAATAAGGACTAAAGGAGAAGAGTAATTATTTTCTTTAAAAACATTTCTCTTCTTCCAGAGGCATTTCTAATACTTTTTCTTTGTTTCTTAACACTTCCGAGTTTATTATTTAATTTTTAAAATTTAATTATGTATCAAAGTTTCTTTGATGTAAATGGGAATGGCCTTTAAAACAAACAAACCAAAACCAAACCAAACCGAACCCCAAAACCCTACCACAGTTGTTTCTGTAGGCAATTATTTACTTATTTGCGTTATAGAAGAGCCTTGAGTCTCGGAACTGCAGTTAAGCTTATATTTGATCTTGTTATTCTTGCATGCGTTACTGGGTATTAACAGTAGACATGTTAAAGTTTGAGAGAAAATATTATCTTTAAGTGACTGTGGGGAACTCAGAAGGTTAATACCAAACTTCAAAAGTTCATGCAAGTCTACTTCTTCAAACTTACTGCACTTCTTAAGCAAACTGCTAAATAGTGTAGCATTTTTATTTGTTTTATTTTTTTTATTTAACTGAACAACAATTAACAAAACCGAAGATGTGGTGCTATTAAGGTTATGGGAAAGGAGTGAGAGCAATGCAGCCGAGGAGTGTGTCATACACTGAAGCTGAGTAATCCACTTCATCTGTGGAAAGCCCTTGCACAAAACTAAGCAAACGAACACATCCTCAGAAGAGGAGGATCAACTCCAGACAGTTCAAACATAGACAATTGAATAACAACAAAGTAAATGCAGGATGGAGGGAGAAGACTGTCTACCTAAACTCAGTAAATTGAAACCAAATAGAAAATTTCCTGCAGAGGTTTTCTACAAACAGTGTCTGTCTCTCTGTTCTTGGGAATCAAAAAAGCAAAATAAATTTCTGTCCTTGAAACTGAAACATAGGCTGTGAGCTCCCCTTTCAAACAGACAGAATATACTTTGGAGGAATGATAGTAGACAGTCATTTGAGAGTCCAGAGGGAGTGTCCTTTAGAGGGGAAAAAAAGTATATTTTTAAGTTCACTAAGGACAGAAGGACAGTCTTTATTAAGAAAAAAGTTGCCAAAGATCTCAGACACTGAGGCGTGTAAACAATTGGTCACTACCTAGATAAATTCTTCCATAGGGACTTCCAAATTTATAAGGGATCTGTGTATAAGTGTGGGGTGAAACTCTACAACAGAGACTGTACCTCAGGCATTTTTATTTTTTTTCAGAAGAAATTATTTGAGATTATTGTGTTAAATTTTATCTTGTATTTGTGTTGCAAGATAAATATGAGGAAATGATTCTGGGTTTTTGAAGAAAGTTCTTAGGCTATTCTTAATGTAGAATTGTTCTAAATATACTTTAGCAACCTGTAAGTACATAATAGTTTTCTCACTGCAAACACCTTTTGTATAAACGACTGAAGAGCTACTTGAGCTAACAGGTTTTATAGCATGAATGTGGTATATTCAGAGTGATACTGAGATTGATGGTACAGTGCTCCTTATAATAAAACTTCTTCGTATTAAAATGGAGGATGAGGTTATGTTTTGTTGTTAGGTCTGGGGC